GCCTTTGCTTCCTGAATGCTCCCTGTACACCTGTCACTGCCCTGGACCGTTTAGCTATGAGTTCATTTAATCCTCACAATAGCCTGGTGAAGTTAGGACCCTTAAGCCCATTTTATAGAGAAGGAAACTGAAGTTCAGTGAACTTAACTAGCTTGTCCAATTCTACACCTGTGATGAATGATGAGCAAGAATTCAAATCCTTCATCACAAGGGGAAAAAAACAATATATACAAATATCAAATCACTCAGTTGTACACCTAAAAGTAATATAATGTTGTATGTCAATGATACCTCAGTAAAAAAAAAAAAAAAAAAAAAAATTAAATACTGTATTCCATGTGCTTTTAATTTCTACTGCTCCCACAATATGTAATACTTCGGTCCTTTTAAGCTTTTCTATGTAACTGGGCCTAATCTATGAAATTTTTCTAATGATCATATTCTTCAAAGTATAACCCAGTCATTTTAACCTTAGGATTCTACACTATGGAAACTATCTTGGAACAAAGACAGAGATGAATTCACAAACACATTAATCACAGTGTCAATTACCATAGGGCAAATTAGAAGTGCCTGGACTGTCCCACAGCGGCCCTCATCCCAGAAGCCTTCCTGATGCTCCACTCTTAGGTGCTTGCCCGTCCTCTCTGGCCCCAGGGGACCCTGTACCAGTCTCCTGTTCCCCGGTCCCCTCCACCGGACCGTGAGCTTCTTTAAAGCTAAGCTCTTCTCACACATCTTTGGTGTAGAGTGGGCGCTCGAATATGTGAGGACTGAATTAGTAAATGACCATGGAGTTGCTGATTTAACAAATCTATAGAAATGGTTTCCGTTGCTGGAGGTCACAAGGCTAGGGCTAGAACCCACGGTCACATGCAGTGCCCTTCCCCCTCCACCTCAGACTTTAAACTTTTTCTAAAATAAAAAATGACTGGAGTTTGAATGCCCGAGGCAGGGTGGGAGAGGGGGAGAAAGCTGGAGATGCCTTCCTCTATGGGTCCCCACTGAAATACTACTGAAATGACCAGATCCCATGGGCCATGTGACCTTGGAGGAGCTGAGCAGCTGATATGGGTGATGAATGAAAACGCAGCTTTCATGTGGACATAAACTATGATAAGTATATCTGAAAAGGTTAAGCAAGAATGGCAAGAGATAACTGCACATACAGCATGTTCTCAACCATTTAAAGAAAATATATCCATTTAAAAAAAAAAAAGATCAGAGGGAAAATTGCCAAATGTTACTAGTGGTTACCTTTGAATAATGTAACCTTTTTCTGTTTCTCTATATTTTTTTGCACTTTCCAAATTGTCCCCAATGGGCATACCTGATTTTTATAATCAGAACAATAAGTAAAATTCAAATCACCAAATTGATTCTGAAGGCTAGTAATGATTTCGACAACCTCTCCAGTATTTTACTGCTGTGAAACTGCATTGATTATATGTTACTGTTACAGATAAGACTATGAAAAGTACATCTATTGGAATCAGAGTGCCATCACGTAGTTTCAGCATACACGCACACAAGCAAGAAAATGTATTTTTCCCCAATTCAGTTTTTAGCGAATAAATTACCGATACCAGGTCTGAGCAAATTCTCAGTATTCTAATGTTCCAGGTTACTGTGAATTTCATTAATGAACTATTCCTGTCATTTTTTAAAATGTTTGTTTACTTTTGAGAGAGACACAGAGCAGGAGACGGTCAGGGAAAGAGAGAGAATCCGAAGCAGGCTCCAGGCTCTGAGCTGTCAGCACAGAGCCCAATGTGGGGTTCGAACCCACAGACCATGAGATCATGGCCTGAGCCAAAGTTGGACGCTTAACCAACTGAGCCACCCAGGCATCCTTCCTGTCATTTTTTTAATGCAACCACATCCTCACAATTGTAGACAGCTACATTCTCTTTGAAGCCTTCCTTTTCAACTAGCTCAAACCATTAGTTTGATTCCTGAAGATAAAGGGAACACCCCTCTCCACACCCCCTCCCCAGTGCAGAAGTCAATATTCAGATAAATTCGATCTATTTCCTGTGGGTCCCTGAGGACAATTTCTTATTGCAGTGATTTTTTAAGTGTATTTATTTATTTTTGAAACAGAGAGAGTGAGCGAGAACGTGTGCCTGTAAGCATGACCAGGGGAGGGGGAGAGACAGAGGGAGAGCGAGAGAATCCCAAGCAGGCTCAGCACTGTCAGCCCACAGAGCCCAACACAGGGCTTGATCCTAGGAACCCTGAGGTCATGACCTGAGCCAAAATCAAGAGTCAGACGCTTAACCGACTGAGCCACCCAGGCGTCCTTCTGACGACCATTTCTGAGGGGCGATCCAAAAGTGTTCTGAGAAGGCTGGGAGGCAAAGAATAGGTCTGCTCCTTTGTAACTCCAGGGCAACGCAGGACCCCACCCCAGCCTGCCTGTTTGCCAGTAAATATAGAATGAATGAATGGAATCACTTTCCAAAAGCCCACCTTTACAATTTGGCAGGCATTCACACCTCTTGGTTAACCAGGTAGGGTCTCCCAATTTGAGTAGACCTGGGTCTGGGGTTATTCTCCCACAAGCATTCTCTACCATTTAAAAAGCTGGTGAGTACAGAGCATGCCAAGGGGTCTGAGTAGGCATGTGTCACATGGCCGGACCCCCGCAGCAACTCCAGGAGATACATACCCCTCCTTCCCCTCACATTATCCAATCATACTCTCAAGGAACACAGGGCAGATAGATGGCTGACCCAAACGCGCTCCTCTGATTCTGAGGCCTAAGCATCTTCCACTCCACTGAACAGCCTGTGCAGAGACGGGGCAGGAAGGACTTTCACTGTACAAGGAAGGAAACTGGAGCCCAGGAAGGTAAATAGCACAGAAAGCTAAGTGGGGTGTCTTACTGCCTTTTGCCTCTGGCTTCTTGCTGCCTTTTGCTTTATGATTATAGTCAAAGCATCTCCATCCTGGGGATAAAGCACTACCATCTAGAGGCCAGGGCAAGGGTGGAGTGAACCATTCAGTCAACACTACGAAAGAGTGATCCCCAGTGATAACTGTAATACTTCTCACCGTATCTACCATTGGGATCCATGGCTCTATGTAATAACCAACAGCTATTTAAATCCTTAAGGAATTCATTCTCTGACTTAAAGGCTGTTGTTATAACAACCATCATAACTTTGACTTTACTCTGGGGTACCAACAACAATTCATTTGATGCAATGGTTTTCCTTTTACGCAAAAAGGGGAATTAAAGGCAGACACCTTGCTGTGTGTTCTTGGGCAGGTGATTTCTCCTCCCTGGGCCTCAGTTTTCCCATCTGGAAAATAAGAGGGCCTGGCCAGATGATGCCTGAGGTTCCTTACAAGGCAAGCGTCCTGATAAGAAAACTATACTCAAGTGCCCAGTGGAATTACCATGAAAATGAAACACTCTAGAAACCCTAAGAAAAGAAACAAGTGTAGCTAGGAGATAAGGGGGGCGGGGGGGGGGGGGGGGGAAGGGGGGCCTGGACAGAACAGCACGTGAGCTATGGGGAAACTGAACTACAAGTGTTTTGTTGTTATTCTTTTTGTTTGTTTTTTTTTTTCTTTTTTTGGCTTTCCAACTTTTCCTCTGCCAAATATAAAAATAGGCAGCTACTTCCGTGGAACTCTCAAAAAGAATTTAATTAAATAAAATCAATGAAAACAATGCCTTGTTCTCCCACAAGTGGCTCAGGAGTAGCTTGCTAAGAGACACTTTCTTCCCTGCGAGGCTGATGTCAACAACCCAATGCTTTGGCCCAAACAAAGGCTTCCTGGCACAGGGATGAGAGGCAAACATCTAAGTCTCCATATTTGGCCCTATTCCAAATTGAGGGGAAAGGGGCAGTGAGGACAGAAAAATACCAAGGCTTATGAAAGGCTAGGAGAAGAGTAAGAATTACCAAATCTATCTTTCCCCAAATGAATAAAGAACTCTTAAAAGAGATCATGGAAGCGTGCAGCGTTCAATCTGAACTACTTTTCTTTGTTTAACTCTGTTCAAAGGCCACTGATTTTTCGACTAACCTGGTTGTGCCTTTGGGGGCTGTCAAGGCCAAGGGCAGTGTGGGAGCTGGGAGACCCATAGATAGGCCGTTTCACTGGTTTGAATTCCTTCCAGGCCAACATTTCCTGCTTGTAAAATGAAAGGATGCCCTAGATCCCCTCTAGATCCTCAGTAACAGTGGGTTAGGGCTAAGGGCCCTCCGGTTCTCCCCAGGGACAGGTTTGATCTCCAGCGGGACTGGTGGCAGATCGCTCAGCGAGAACACTCCAGCGGGGGTGCCTGCATTCCTGCACACACCAGCCTCCCACTCCCACCACCTCGGGTGCTTACTTCTCCGCCAACACCATCACCTAACAGACCAATGCACCCTCCCACCCACTTCTCTGCTGCAGAAGCAGGTCTTTTGAACCAAAATCTGCCAAGGTGAGCGGCGCATGGGTAAGCAAAGAAAAAACAAAACAAAATAAACAAAACAAAACAAAAACAAGAGCCCTCTTATCTGGATCTAACTGAAGATAAGAGCGTCCCTACCCAGAACAAGAGGCCTCGGCTGGCCTCGCTTGGAAAAACACGAAACAAGTCTCCAGCCAAAGGGGCCAAAAGACATTCGCGCTGGCCAGACGCAAGGACCTCCAAGGGAAAGCTCAAGCAAGGGGCCAAGAAGACCGAGACCGCGCTGAGCGCTGTTTAAATTGGACTATTGTTTCTGCAGGCTGGGGAGGCGCTCGCCATCTCCCGGCAGGAGCACTCGCCGGAGCGCAGGGACAATGGTGCACTGGGCACGGTCTTTTTTTTGTAGGGGGACCCATGGACCCTTAATTCAACCCGAGTGCGGTGGAAGTGCGGGGCTGCCCCGGTCACATCAAGTAATGCTCCACGGGGCAGGCTGTCAGCCCGGGGTAAAGCTTTTTGCAGCGGCTTTGGGGTTTCGTTTCCCCATTTTGCAGACCGGCAGTTTGGCCTGAGGGCCAAGTGGTACCTTTTCAGCGCGGCTGTAGTCCTCCTCGCGCAGGCGGCGCCCCCAGCGCCTCTCCCTCCCCCGCGGCCGGAGACAATGGCCGGGTTCCGCGGGGCGGCCCTTCCTGGGCGCGGCGCCGGGATCCCCGCGCAGAGCGCACGTGCGTTTGTTATGGTGCCTGAGCCCCCACCCCCGCCGCAGGCCGCGGGTTCCCGGTCCGGGAATCCGGCGGCGGGAACGCGCAGGAGCCCGGAGTGCGCGGGGCGTCCCGCACCTTACCCACCGCGCGGTGCGGGCAGCGAGGCTCCCGGGGGCCGAGCGCACGTGGGTGTGTTGTGGGTCCGCAGACTCGCGGAGCCCGCGGGGGAAGCCGGGGCGATCCCCGGGCCGGGAGACACACCCGGACGCCCCGGTCCCACGGCGGCCAGCCCGCCGGCGAGGCTGCCGAGGCGGCGCCGGGCACGGGCTCCGCGCGCCCCGCTGCCCCGCTCCCCGCCCGCGCCCCTCCGCGCGCCGCCGCCCTGCGCGCCGCTACTCACTCGCTGCGCGCTCGGCCGCCGGGGCTGCGGCCGCTCCGCCCGCTCCGCGCCCTTTGTTAGCGCCGGGCAGCGTCCCAGACGTCCTCCCCGGCCCGGCCCGGCCCCGCGCTCCCCTCCCCCGGGGGCCGCCCGTCTCCGCGCGCCGCGGCCGCAGGGAGCCCGGCAGCTGCGAGCCCGGCGCCGGGGCCCGGCAGGAGGGTCGGCCGGGGCGGAGGGGTGGAGGGAAGAGCGCGGCGGAGGGCGGGGGAAGCGACGGGCTCCGTTATGCAAATAGTCGGGCCGACGGGGTGGGTCGCCTGGCGCACGGCGCCCCAGACAGCCGGACCTGGCCCTCCGGGGGTCGCTCGTGAGCTGGCCTCCGGACGAGGGGTGCCGGGTTAGGGCACCTCGTGATGCCAGGATCCTGCTCCCCCCCGCCTCGCTGCCTCCGAGGAAGGCGAAAGGAGGAACAAGGGGAGGGGCGACGCGGCGCCCCGGGATCCCCAAATGCAGGCTCCCCTCACCAACCCCCCAGGTCCCCGAGGGTTGAATCCGACACCTCAGGCTTTTCGTCCTCACAAGCGGGAACTGTAAATCCTGCCTCTGACACCGACTGGCTGTGTGACTCTGAGCAAGTCACTTAACCTCTCTGAACTCTTCTTATATAGGCTATAAAACCGCAAAACCTCTTTCACGGGGTGTGACAACCTCCGGCGTCAGCGCGTCCTAGGTGCTCTCAAACACTGCAGACTCTGGGCCCCAAGCTGTCTGCGGGCTTGGGGGGGGGGGGGGGGGTGGGACGGGAGGCCGCAGGTATTGGGGTGAAGGGAGCGAAGTTCCTTCCTTTCCCTGAGGCTGAACTGGGGCTGGCTGCCAGGGGAAGGCCCGCACCGCCTGCGGAGCAGGCTGTATACTGACCGTCCCGGTGCCCCGGGTTGGGGTGGGGGTGGGGGGGGCGCTGAGACAGAAAACGGCCCCACAGGAGGGCCAGAAGCAGCCTTGGGCCGCCACTCCAGTCCCCGGAGAGAGGATGTGGCAACAATCATGGCCCAACTGCGCTTTGAGCACCCAGCTGGCACGGGGCTGTGTACTTGGAGGGAAAAGGGGAGTGACGTCATCTGGGCCTCTGGGAGCATTCGGTGGGGGAAACACGCCCCGCACTTGAAGCCCCGACACAGAGCTCTCCCCAGATTGAGGGGACGACTCCCCATCACCAGCTCAGCTTGGGAAAAGGGAAGTCACGTCCTCCGGTCATCCATTAACGCAGTTACCTTCTTCCAGATAGGCTTCCTCCCTTCCCTCTTGCTCGGCCTGGCGGGCCGGCTGCTGAGGAAGCGTTACTCCTGGGTACCCAGAGCTCCAATTCCAGAAGCTGCCCCACGGGGTGACTTCAGAGCTCTATGACCAACTAGCCCAGTGTCGGTGTGAGTTCCTCAGCCTCTCTGGGCCTCTTTTTTTTTTTTTTTTTTTTTTTTATGTTTATTTTTGAGAGAGTGGGATAGGGGCAGAGAGAGAGAGAGAGAGAGAAGGACAGAGGGTCCCAGGCAGGCTCCCCGCTGTCAGTGCAGAGCCGCATGCTCAGCGGGAACCCAGGGACAGTGAGATCACAACCTGAGCCAATGCTTAACCCCCTGAGCCACCCAGGCGCCCCTCTGTGAGCCTCTTTTGAACCTCTTCCCTCTTCTGTACGGTGGAGATATTAACGACACAGTTGTTTTCGGGATTGTGTGACATGACCGCTCTGAAGCATTTAGCTTAGTATCTGGCATCTGGACGGCGCTCGTAACAAGTAACAGTAACACGAGTGGGTGAATGGAAGTAGACAAACCCATGAGACTGTTTCTGGGAGGAGGCCATAGTGGAGATTTCAGACTTTATTCTGAGCAGATTGGAAGCTCTTCAGAGATTTTATGCAGGGGCATGGCATGCATCCTTCTGTTTGACACCGATTTTTCTGCCAGTTTCCTGGAAAGTGGATGGCAGGAGCCGAGACTGGGAGCATGGAGCACAGAGCCCAGTTTGCAAGCTGCCATCAGTGGAGATATAATAGGAGCTGAGCAGTGACAGCAGGAAGGAAAAATGGACATGTGAGTAATACCTACCATTCGGGGAGCAAAAGCAATTTGCTTATTGTATTGCCTCTTCTTTCAATAACATCTGTGGTGGCCTTACCCCATCGTACGACTAAGAATATTGAGGTCACCAAGGAAAATGGAAGAGCTAGAATTTGAACCCTCTTCCACATAAATGGAAAGTCTTAATCATTTCCTTCCTCAGTATCACTCGTATGTCAACCCTGCTTAAGAACCAAGAGCAAGGGGACGCCTGGCCAGCTCAATCAGAAGCGCATGCGGCTCTGGACTAGAGGTGGTGAGTTCGAGCCCCACGGGTATAGAGACTACCAAAAAATAAATAAATAAACTTTAAGAAAAGAACAAAGAACAAGAAAGAGAGGAGAGGCTTTTCTAGAAGATTCTCCGGCCCCGCTCCGCAGGACTCTTTACAAGGAGAACCACAGCCAGATTACGGAGAAAATCAAGAGGTTTACTCCGTATTCTTGGCTTACAGGACCAAGGTGACCACAGATGACATGAAAAGCCCAAGAAGTTTCTTTTTTTTTTTTTTTTACTTTATTTATTTTGAGAGAAAGAGAGAGCACGAGCAGGGAAGGGGCAGAGAGAAAGGGAAAGAGAGAATCCCAAGCAGGCTCTGAGCCGTCATCATAGAGCCGGACACAGGGCTCCATCTCATGAAACGTGAGATCATGACCTGAGCTGAAATCAAGAGTTGGAAGCTTGACTGACTGAGCCACTCAGGCGCCCCTAAGAAGTTTCTGGGGCGATGGGGCAGATGGGTGGACAGGTAAGGAAGATGCCCCTGGAAGATGTCCAGGGTGGGTCCCTTTGGGGGGAGGGGGGCATTCCCTCAAGGTTTCCTTGAGTTGGGGCCTTCTGACCTATAGATGAGAGGCAGGAGCCTATGAGGCTTCCCCATCCATTGTCTCTGGGCCCCAGACTTGACAGGTTATTTTTCTTAGAAGTATAAATACGTAATTTCCCTCTGGACACTACCTCAGCTCCCCACCCCCATGACCTCAGTCTTTGCCCGTGAATAATATTTTAGGTAATGCTTTTCACAGTCATCATTTTAGGCAGTTTACTGGCTAATACAAACAATGCCCTACTTTGTAATGTTCACTTACAGTAAGCCAGTCACAGACAAGATTTTTCTAGCACTCAAATTGGAGACGGTGGTGTTGCACAGTCTTGTAAGGAATAAGGGAAGCACAGGCAGCTGAAAATATCTTCCCAAACCCTTCTACTTCACCTCTTTCTAGATGCTCCTGTAGAACCTTCAATGGCAGCCACAGTTCTCTGCGCTCTTTCAGCACCCACAGCCCAATATAAGGGTGGGCTGGGAGCTCAAGGAATTGCTCTGTGGCCTGCCTGCACCCCCTACCTTGGACTTCAGCGCTCTCAGTCGAGGATAAAGATACCTATGCGCAGACAAGTCTATGGAACCCAAGTCAGAGAAAGAAAGAGAGTAACAGCATGTCTGGGAGAACAACACTAAGGCAGAGGCTGCACACCAGAGATGGGCCCCTTGAGAGGACCTCGGCCACAAGACGGGAATGGTGGGCCCGGCCATGCCTCGGACAGCAGGCACGGCCTCACAGCCTCAACGTTCGATATGGGCTCTGTGTGAGCAGGTGTGGGCAGGGAAATGGATACGTCGTGGGGGCGCATGTGTCATTAGACACCACTTCACCCAATCCACTTCAGCATCCAGCCTTGTCCCAGGAGCTACGGGGAGAAACCAAGTCCCAATTCTCAAATCACTTATGTTTCAGCAAAATATCCTTTGATCCATGATAATAATACAAATTGCCACGTACTGAACATCTACTGGGTGCAAGGCAGCCGGTGCATGTTCTCAATCCTCACTTGGGGGAGGGGAAGATCATTCTAGAACTCAAGTGTACCTAAGCCATCTGAGGCTACTCCTCCTGTTGTTGCCTAAAGGCCAATCTTAGCATGAAATTAACATATAGGAGGTGAGGGGATGGCTATAAATCTCACTCTAAGAACATTAAAACTTGAGAGAAGTCTTTTCTGCAGGTTTCTTAAGGAGACAAAGAGGTGTCTTAACAAACATCAAGATGCAAAACTTCCTAGATATCCGCTTACAACACTCCTTTTTCAGAAGTTCCACTCTTGATACCATCTTCACACATTTCTAGAGGCCTCCTCAGCATCCCTCTCCCTCCCATGATGCTCCTACAACTCCCCCCGTCCCCACCTGCCATGTCCTTCCCTCTAGAGGTCGTCCTTAATTTTAACTAGCCTCTCTCAGTGCCCCAAAAGACGTAAGAAAAAGAGTAGGAAGCTGCAGAAAACAAACAAACAAACAAACAAAGACAATGCACATGAATATAGATCTTTACATTTACAAATGGCTTGCGTATTTGTTAACCCACCTGAGCCCTTTTCAGACTCTGAATAACCTGTGAGGTAGGTAGGGCTCTTTATCACCCCCATTTACAGATGAGAAAGACTGAGGCTCACAGGTAAAATGAGTTGCTTAAAGTCCGCTAGTGAGTGTTGAGCTGCGCTTTGAAACCTAGACCCCTTTCCTCCATGCCACATCTGGCCCAGGGTTGCAAACGCCTGAACAAGCCCATCAAACTGTCAATAGCAGGTCCCAGGTGCAGCTGCTGAAACTGTTGCCCTGGTGCCCCGGGGCAAGACTCAAGCTATGCCCAGGACACCAAGAGTCCCCAGCAATGGCGAGAGGACTCAAATCAAAGATGCTTGTAATAAATTCCTTCAAAAAGATCCAGGAAACTGGCTTCTCTCAAGTGACTTCTATCAGAACCAAAGTGCAAGCTGCCTCCCGTTTATTTATTACCGGAGGATGACCTTCAG